GCTCCTCCGCCAGTATCGAACTCTCGCTCAGAGTACATGTAGACAAGCCAAGTATAAGATCAGAGATCTAAAGAACCAAAGAAAAATTCATTTTAGAAATAAACGAGAAACGTCTTCTGACAAAAGTACCCACTCCCCTCTCACACAGAAAGCTCAGGTGTTTGTTATACGAGGTGACTAAGCTTATTTGCAAATACTACAAAAGGCTTAAGAGCGACTAAACGAAATGATAAATCATTCATACAATTTTCTTCTTAAAATGGGTTTTCTCGGTCTAATGCTATAATTCCATGACTAGAGTAACTTTTACTGTAAACGAACCAATAACACAGTAGGGATATTATAAACACAGCCTGCTGCGAGATAACTCGTAGTAAAACTACGAAATATACGAAACAAACAACCTTATGGCAAAGTTCTCCACACCAGAGACAAAGGTAAAAATTAAATTAATACATTTCAAAATGGCTAGATCATAATTCATCATAAATTATCGTGTACTAAAATATTGCCGATGGATATTTTATCATAGAATTACTCATTGATCGAAAACAGTTGCCCATATTCTTCAAGAAACGTATAAAATAGTATATTTAAAAAAACAATTTATTCACTGGTCAGCACTGGCTTTACACGTGACGGTTTCTGAAAATAACACAATATATACAATTTTTAATCCAGTACTTAAAGTTGAGACTAACCCAATTAGGATCCTGTAAGTTTGTTTTGTTAATTTTATATATCTTTTAATTTGCGATCATAGAGTGGATTGTAACGAATTGTCAAAATATGACCTCATAGTTACTTAACGCTTGAAAAGATAATGTATTTAAACAGCTTTATTCCAATCCTCAGCTATTCCTTTCATTATTAGTTTTTGGGCTGTCCTTGACAACAGGGCATACCCTGAGGCATTTCAGAAAAACAGAACAATCGTGATATGATCTGTCCTTATATCCGTCTTCGGTTCCGCTTCGAATACCTCACGACTGACCACAACACACATTTCATTAATCTTGACCGTGAAACATGACGTACGTCCTTAAATTCAGAAAATGTTGCGGCATAAATAAGCCATGTTTAAATCAGTCACGACAATGGGCACCACCACAAGTAATTATTGGCAATGATCACTATACCTTAACATTCCTTTGTTCAAAATTTTCACCATACAAGTTTACTACAGATATCCTAATGATTGTTTTGAAGTAAATATTGAGATATTGTTCTTTCAATACAGATTTAATTCTAAATCATAACATAATTAAAATAACATGTGCAGAAAAATTGCCATGCTTAGAATTTTCAAAGCACTGTTAGGTTTTCGCTTTCCTTAAACGACGGAAACGTCTCGTAAATCACTTCATGGCCCATAAAAATATCGAAGTCAAGGCTCGTATTTCACAGTTTTCGATGAAAAACGTCAATATGTGTATACTTTCCTTGATGTAACGGTTTTATACTTGAGTCGTTGTCGTAAATTACAGAGTAGGTGCTCCGAAATATCCTTCGGGGAACGGGCTATTACGTCTGCCTAGAGGTATCACTGTTCCCAGCAAGGCCGCTGGCGCCGCCACAAGCCAGCCAAGTGGCTTAGAGGTACGTACGCGTCGTTGTCAACATCACCTCCCACCATCCGGGTAGTGCTTGTCCCCCAGGACATTTTCAACATTCAAATTTTCTGTCCAAAGTTTCAAAGTCCAAAGTTATTGCTTTCCAAAGTTTCCGCTGCCCGTTTGGATGTCCGAGATCGTTAAGGCCGCAGCGATCTCGAACCGAAGGATCGCGGGTTCGAGTCCCGCCTCGAGCATGGTTGTATTTGTGATGGTCCTTTCACCCCTATCATCACCATATCATGTCATCTTCACAGTTACCATACCGTGCATGCAATAGTGGTCGCTAAGGACTTAGATGTTGATGCGACCTAAAATAACAAAAAAAAAATCCCGGATTTGGTGACTCCGGGTTTGAGTGAATCGCCGAAAGGATCTAGCTAACAAGTATTATTAAATTTTTAATTGATAGCAGCTACCTGGGTTTGAAAGGAAGTAATTCTCTCCGCGTTTTGTCTTCTCTAACTTCAATGTTCGAATATTCTATTTTTTTACAACTGTTATTCTACTTATTTTTACACCTCAAGGACGACGACAAGGAAGTCAGACGTTCAGTGGCGTCTGCAATTTACGAACTGTTTCATTTTTGAACTATTATTCTTTGAGGAATTTGATAGGGAAAATTCAAAATCATTATTTCATTTCGCATTTAGTTGAGTTGGAAACTATAAGTAACCACGACCAACGTGTTTGACATAACATTAAATATATCACCATCACAACCAATGAGAATAAAAATAATACGATATTTACAGTGGGAATATATTCATTCCAATAATATTTTCTTGCGAAAGATAGTAGCAGTACTCATTCTGTGTAGATTTGCACATTACAAAAATAGTTCAATCTTAAAACTGTACTCAGATCAAAATATGAATAGGACGTTCACGCTGCTTTCGTGGTTTGTGGTATTGCGATGTCCGGTCTACTCTCTGGGGCGCAATAACCGTAACGAAATTAATAATTGCTGATATCAGCACGGTGTCGCAAGACATCCTCAAAACAGATTTACAGTGGTAGCAAATGAGTCCAATGAGAATACTAATAATAATAACAATAATAATA